ATAGACTAGAAAAAGACTAGAAAACGTTCAAGAGTCTAGACTAGAGACTAATCAATAGTCTAGGCTCTGCTCTATAGTCAAGACTAGAGACTGATCTATAGTCTAGACTAGAGACTGATCTATAGTCTAGACTAGAGACTGATCTATAGTCAAGACTAGAGACTGATCTATAGTCTAGACTAGAGACTGATCTATAGTCTAGACTAGAGACTAATCTAATCTTATGTCTAAACTCTGCTCTCTTTAGAAACCGATCTATAGTATATACTAGAGACTGATCTTTAGTCTAAACTATAAACTAATCTATAGTCTAAGCTATAAAGTGATCTAAAGTCAAGACTTAAGACTGATCTGTAGTCTAGACCAGAGGCTGATCTATAGTCTAGACTAGAGACTGATCAATAGTCTAGACTGGAGACTGATCTATAGTCTATACTAGAGACTGATCAATAGTCTAAACTATAAACTAATCTGTAGTGTAAACTATATTCTGATCTAAAGTAAAGACTAGAGACTGATCTACAGTCTAGAGTAGAAACTGATTTGTAGTCTAAACTAGAGACTGATATGTAGTCTAGATTAGAGGCTGATCTATAGTCTAGACTAGAGACTGATCAATAGTCTAGACTGGAGACTGATCTATAGGCTCTACTAGAGACTGATCTATAGTCTAGACTATAGACTGATCTATAGTCTAGACTAGAGCCTGACCTATAGTCTAGACTAGAGATTGATCTACAGTTTAGACTACAGACATTTCTATAGTCTAGACTAGAGACTAATCTAATCTAAAGTCCAGGCTCTGCTCTGTATTTTATACTGGACAATGATCTATGGTTTATACTAGAGACTGGACTATAGTCTGGACTAGATACTGATCTATAGAATAGACTAGTCACTGATCTATAGTATAGACTAGAGACTGATCTTTAGTCTAAACTCTAAACTAATCTGTAGTCGAAACTATAAGTTGATCTAAAGTAAATACTAGAGATTGATCTACAGTCTAGAGTAGAAACTGATCTGTAGTCTAGACTAGAGTTTGATCTATAGTCTAGACTAAAGTTTGATCTATAATCTAGACTAGAAACTGATCTAATCTATAGTCTAGACTCTGCTCTTTATATTTTACACTTGACACTGATCTATAGTTTAGACTAGAGACTGAATTAAAATGTATATGAAATATTTGATCTTTTTTTGTTATTGTTTATATTAACTAAAAAGTAACCTTGACATTGCTTACTACATAAATATTTGTTTTAATTTAAATGGTTTTTTGTTGTTGTTGTACCCACAAAAATCAAAAACCGAGAAGAAGACTCAAACGACTTGTTAGTAGTAAAAGGCAAGTGAGTTGGCGGGAGTTATCGAAGCAGAACATTTTGGTTTTTTTTTTTTATTGTGAAAAAAATTAAAACAATACAATTGTTTTCTCAGCTTTAAGAAAAGAAACCGGCAATTTAATCATGAAACAGAGGGAAGTTTTTTTTTTTTTTCTTTAGAATTTAACTTTTAATAAAAAGCGTAAGATTTAATTTATATGTTCGGTTTTTTTTAAGAAAAATTCCTTTAACAAAATGTATATAATTAGTGATAGTAAAAATTATTTAAGAACTTAAGAATTTTGTTAAGTTAACTTAATGATTTATACACTCATTGTATGTTAATTTAAAAAAAAAAAATAACAAAAATTTTTTTAATAATTTTTGGTTGCTTCCCCTTGCCTTTGTTAATAACATTTGCACTATTTTTTTCTTTTTAAAAAATTTTTAAGTTTTGTCGTTTTTTTTTTTTTTTTTTTTTTTTGTTAAATAATAAATTGTCTTGTGGTGTGAACTATAATTTTAAAGAAACCAGCTTAATGTAACAGTATTTGTGTCTGTCTTTATTCTTTTTGTATAACTTTTTAAAAATTTAGTAATATTTCTTGTGTCTCTATTTCTGTCTTTCTTTCCTTTATAAGCCGGGTTTTTAAAGCTGGTTCAGTTAAACTATTCTTGTAGGTTTTGTTGTTAATACGGTTACAGGTTGTTGTAGTTTTTGTGTAAAACATTATCAGCAACAACCTCATCATCATCATCGTCGTCGTCATTGGCAGCACCAACACTGACTCTAAAACTCTGTTTAAAAGGTGTTTGTTTGTCTTTCGATTTGGTTGAATCAAGAAAATATATAAAATTCACACGTTTGTATTATAAAGCTTTATAGACTACATACAACAACCATAAAATAAAAGAAATTATGACAACAACAACCAAAAACTATAAACGGTAGTTTTGAAGTTTAATGAACTTTTTTAAAATAAATTTAGTTCTTAATAACAAAATACCTATTGATCTCAAAAATTGTAAAGAATGTCCAAAAATTTTCAAAATTTTCTAAAAATTAATTTCGAAGTTTGAAAAGCCTTAAAACTGAAACTAAAAGTGTTATACATTGCAAAATGGCGTTGGCATTTTAAATTTGTTCAGCGAATTAAGCTTAAAACTTAAACCTGTTGATGTTAGACAAAAAAAAATAACTGCAGGTTTTTCGAAATAATAGCAATATACCGTTTCTAACTTACAGTCTACAGATCAAGCTCTAAACTAAACTATAGTTCAGTCTCTAGTCTAGACTATAGATCACACTCCAGTCAAGATTATAGATCAGTCTCTAGTCTAGACTATAGAACAGTCTCTTGATAATACTACAGATCAGTCAGTAATCTATGCTATAGATCACTCACTCTCTAGTCTAGACTCTTGATCAGCCTCTAGTCTAAACTATAGATCACTCGCTACTCTCTATAGATCACTCTCTAGTTTAGACTGTAAATCAGTCTCTACCCTAGACTAAATAGACACTCTCTACACTAAAGATCACTATCTAGTCTAGACTAGAGATCAGTCTCTTATCTGGACAATAGATCACTCTCTAGTCTGGACTATAGATCACTCTATAGTCTGGACTATAGATCACTCTCTGGTCTAAAGAATTGACTCTAGTTTAGACTATAGATCAGTCTCTAGTCATGACTGTAGGTAAATATATCGTTTATAATATAGACCATACTCTAATTCAGGCTATATATTAATCCCTTGTCTATACTATAAGCAGTAAACTAGTCTCGACATATATCATTCTCTAATGTAGAATATAGATCACTCTCTAGTTTAAACTATAGATCACTCTCCAGTCTAGACTATAGATCAGTCTCAGGTCTAGACTATAGTTCACTCTCTAGTCTACACTATACATCATTCTCAAGTCTAGTCACTAGTCTAAACTATTGATTACTCTCTAGTCTAGGCTATAGATTACTATCTATTCTAGACTTTAGACTAATTTCTAGTCTAGACTATAAAAAATACTGTCTAATCTAGATTATAGATCAGTCTCTATACTAGTCTACAGAAAACTCTCTAACCTAACCTAAACTATACATTATTCTCTATTCTAGACTATAGATCACTCTATAGTCTAGACTATAGATCACTCTCTAGTCTAAACTATAGATCACTCTCTAGTCTAAACTATAGATCACTCTCTAGTCTAAACTATAAATCACTCTGTAGTCTACGCTAAAAAATACTGTCTAATCTAGGCTATAGATCAGTCTCTAGTCCAGACTATAGGACACTCTCTACCCTAGACTATAGATTATTCTCTAGTCTAGACTATAGATCACTCTCTAGTCTAGACTATAGATCACTCTCTAGTCTAGACTATAGATCACTCTCTAGTTTAGACTATACATAACTCTCTAGTCTAGACTATAGATCACTCTCTAGTCTAGACTATAAATCACTCTGTAGTATAGGCTATAAAATACTGTCTAGTCTAGGCTGTAGATCAGTCTCTAGTCCAGACTATAGAACACTCTCTAGTCTAGACTATGGATCACTCTCTAGTCTAGACTATGGGTCACTCTCTACTCTAGACTATAGATCACTCTCTAATCTAGATTATAGATGAGTCTCTATACTAGTCTATAGAAAACTCTCTGACCTAACCTAAACTATACATTATTCTCTATTCTATACTATAGATCACTCTCTAGTCTAAACTATAGATCACTCTCTAGTCTAAACTATAGATCACTCTCTAGTCTAGAATATAAATCACTCTGTAGTCTAGGCTATAAAATACTGTCTAGTCTAGGCTGTAGATCAGTCTCTAGTCTAGACTATAGAACACTATCTACCATAGACTATAGATCACTCTCTAGTCTATACTATGGATCACTCTCTAGTCTAGACTATAGATCACTCTCTAGTTTAGACTATAGATCACTCTCTAGTCTTGACTATAGATCACTTTCTAGTCTAGACTATAGATCACACTCTAGTCTAGACTATACAATACTGTCTAATCTAGACTATAGATCACTCTCTACTCTAAACTATAGATCATTCTCTCCCCCCAGACTATAGATCACTCTCTAGCCTAGACTATATGTAGATCACTCTCTAGTCTCTACCGTAGACTATAGATCACTCTCAAATCTAGACTAAAGATCAGTATCTAGTCTAAACTAAAGATCAGTTCTTAAATAAGTTTCGTGTTTAATATACTGATCACTTGCTAGTCTTAACTATAGATCAGTTTTTATTTTGATCTAAACTTCAATTTCTAGTTAAAAAATTCTTAATTTTCTCAACAAATTCAATTCAATTTTTAACCCATTTTTTCAAAATGATTCAATGATTATAAATTATTTTTTCAGCATATATGTACGTAATATACTAAGAAGATCTATTAAAGACCTTTTTTGTAACCATTTAAGGTTAGGTCACTTAAAATAACAATCTTGCCATAAATGTTACTCTTAACAATAATATTCAAATACAAATCAAATGACTCATTTGTTAACAAACAAAATAATAATAAAAAAAAACAAGTTTTATTATTTCAAAAATTTTTGCATTAAAAATTTCATGACAAAATCTAAAGAATATTAATAAGAAAAATGAAATCATTTTTGTAAAATTATAGTTTTAGAAAAAAAAACTTACCAGATTTTACGATGAAATATTTTAAAAATTTATAATAAATTTCTTGATGATTTGCTGCCAAAGAGGAAAGAAATTTTTTGCCATAATTTGCAGACGTATGAGGGTTAATAGTTATCTTCCTTGATGGACTTGTTTTGTTTTTTTTTTTTTGCTTTTCTTAAAGTTAATTTTTTTGCTTTTTATTTAATTGTCGTTTTTATATAAAAAAAATATTTGTCGCCTTAGATTTTTAATTAAAACTTTTGTTGCTGTTTCTGTAATAAGAAAAGGAAACAGAAAAAAAAACTTTTATGAATTTTGTTTTTTATAGACGAATAAATTTCAAAATTTATTCATATAAGGTTTCTTGAAAAACTTGTTGAAAATGTATATTTTTTTATGGTTTATTAACTTGTTATCTGTAATTTCAGGCGTCTTTTATAAATTTTTTTTAAAACACATTTTAATAAAATTTTTGCTTTTAAAGCTTTTTAAAAAAGTTATTTTTAACATTTTTTTAAGCTTTAGTTTACTTTTAATAAAGGAATTCAAAGGCAAATGTTTAAAAAAAATTTCAATATTTTTTTTCAAAACTTTTCTTTTCATTTTGTTAATTTTCAATTAGTTTTTTTTTCTGGTTATTTTTAAACTCTAATTGTTGTAAACTTTTCCTGAAATTTTTTCACATCTCTCTTACATTTTGCAAATTAAGAAAAAATTAACATTTTTCCCAAACGTTAAAAGAAAACTGAACAACTACAAAAAAAAACACACACACAAACTTGTTTTCAAAACAACAATTTCTAAATATTGTTTGGTTGCTGTTTAAAGTATTTTCGCTTTATGCTGCAATAACATCTATAGATGTTTGGTTAACACGGAAATAATGCCAAACCACCAACCAAAATAATAAAAAAAAAACAAAAATAATTTTCTTGGATTTTTTTTCTTTTGCAGTTTAACCACTTTCACAAATAAACGAAAAAAAAATTGTTTAAAAACGAGTAAAATAACAACAATAATAATATTTATTTAAAATGACAATGAATTAATAGAAATTAAAAAAAAAAATCCAGAATAGCAAAAAGTTTCACTTTTTAGTATACAGCCTAGTCTAAACTTGATATTCAAAACCTTCGACCAGTCCTCAGAATCATCTATAATCCTTAATATAGTCTGATCTATAGTCTTGACTATAGAATGATTTATAGTCTGGACTATAGACTGATCTATTGTCTTGACTATATATTGATCAATAGTCTTGAATATAAACTGGTCTATAGTCTTGACTATATCCTATTTTAAAGTTTTCAGTATAGACTGATCTACAGAAACTAGTCTAGAGTCTAGACTATTTAACACTCTCTAGTTTAAACTATAGATTTACTTTATATTCCAGACTATAGGTCACTTTCTAGTGTCGAATATAGATCACTCGCTTCCCTAGACTATAGACCACTCTTGACTATAGACTGATCTATAGTATTGATTATACACTAATCAATAGTAATGGTTAAAGACTGATAGATAGTTTTGACTATAGATCGATCTATATTATTGCTTATTGACTAATCTATAGTCTTGACTATAAATTGATCTATAGTCTTAACTATAGACTGATCCATAGTCTTAACTGTAGACTGATCTATAGACTGATGTATAGTCTGGACTATAGAATGATCTATAGTATTGACTATAGACTGATCAATTGCATTGAGTATAAACTGATATCTAGTCTTGACTATATAGAGACTTCAGAAATTAGACTAGACTATTTAATACTCTCTAATCTAGACTATAGCTCACTTTATATTCTAGACTATAGATCACTTCCTAGTGTCGAATATAGATCGCTCGCTACCTTAGACTATAGACAACTCTTGACTATAGACTGATCTATAGTCAAGACTGATTATAGACTGATCTATAGTCTGGACTACAGACTGATCTACAGCATTGCTTATAGATTGATCTATAGTCTGGCCTATTGACTGATCAATAGTATATATAGTACTATAGTATAGCTTATAGACTGATCTATAATCTTGACTATAGAATGATATATAGTCTTGACTATAGACTGACCTATAGTATTGACTATAGAATAATCTATAGTCTTGACTATCTTGCTAATAGACTGATCTATAGTCTAGACTCTAGGCTAATTTTCGTATGAGTATAGACTGATATATAGAACGATCTCTAGTCTTGACTATAGAATGAACCATTGTCGGCACTAGAAACTGATCTATAGTCTGATCCATAATCTTGACTAATTATAGTCAAGTCTATAGTCTAGTCTATAGTCTAGTCTATAGTCTAGTCTATAGTCTAGTCTATAGTCTAGTCTATAGTCTAGTCTATAGTCTAGTCTATAGTCTAGTCTATAGTCTAGTCTATAGTCTAGTCTATAGTCTAGTCTATAGTCTAGTCTATAGTTAGTCTATAGTCTAGTCCTATAGTCTAGTCTATAGTCTAGTCTAGTAGTCTATAGTCTAGTCTATAGTCTAGTCTATAGTCTAGTCTATAGTCTAGTCTATAGTCTAGTCTATAGTCTAGTCTATAGTCTAGTCTATAGTCTAGTCTATAGTCTAGTCTATAGTCTAGTCTATAGTCTTAGTCTATAGTCTAGTCTATAGTCTAGTCTATAGTCTATAGTCTAGTCCTATAGTCTAGTCCTATAGTCTAGTCTATAGTCTAGCCTATAGTCTAGCCTATAGTCTAGTCTATAGTCTAGTCTATAGTCTAGTCTATAGTCTAGTCTATAGTCTAGTCTAAGTCTAGTCTATAGTCTAGTCTATAGTCTAGTCTATAGTAGTCTAGTCTAGTCTATAGTCTAGTCTATAGTCTAGTCTATAGTCTAGTCTATAGTCTAGTCTAGTCTAGTCTTATAGTCTAGTCTAGTCTAGTCTATAGTCTAGTCTATAGTCTAGTCTATAGTCTAGTCTATAGTCTAGTCTATAGTGTAGTCTATAGTGTAGTCTATAGTCTAGTCTATAGTCTAGTCTATTAGTCTAGTCTATAGTCTAGTCTATAGTCTAGTCTTTAGTCTAGTCTATAGTCTAGTCTATAGTCTAGTCTATAGTCTAGTCTATAGTCTAGTCTATAGTCTAGTCTATAGTCTAGTCTATATAGTCTAGTCAAAATATTAGAACTTTATAATTTTATCCCAAAGATAGTTTTTGTATTTTGTAGTTTTTATTTCCTTAGTTTTGGATTAAAAGCACTAAAAAAATTTATGAAATTTTTTAATTTATCTTTCAGATACTTTATATATTTTTGCCTCATTTTACTATTTAAGAACTTCTGTTTTTATATATTTGACTTAAAAACGTTGATTTTAGTATTTAAATTTATAATATATCTTAAAGATACTTTTGTATCTTTTGCCCTGAATTTTGTATTTAATTGTAAACAATGTGATGATTTTATTATGTTTTATTAAAAATCTCCGTTTTTTATTGTTTTAGATATAATTTTTGTTCGTTGATCATTAAAATACTTTTGTATCATTGCGATTTTTATTATTTTAGAAATAAAATTTTTATTTTTGTGATATATATAATTTTTAGATTTATTTTTTAATTTTGGTTAATTTTTTTTTAAATATAAATTAAAATTTTTGTTTAATTATTTAATTTTTGGTATAAAAATTTCTTTTTTCAAATTATTCACTTATTTCATGCGTTCGCCCGTTGTATTATTCCTTTCCAAAGTTTAGACGTTAATGAACCTTTTCTCCCCATTTCTACTTTTGTCTTGTGTAAAACTTAACATAAATCTATTTTATTTTGCACTTTAATTGATTTCCAATCAAAAAAAATGGAGACACATAACAGCAACAACAACAAAGGCAAAGTATTTTTAATTTTAAATGAAAACACATCATCAAATACAACAAAAAAAATGGAATTCCTTTAAAGTTCCGGGTTTCGAAGATAAATAAACGACAAAAACGCAAACAAAATACTAAAGAAACAATCTCAAAGTTTAATGTTAAACGAGTAAAGGCAAAAATCAAATGAATTTGCAACAAAAACAGAAAAAAATTAAATTGCAATTGAAATGCAGACAAAATTTTATAAAAAAAAATTCAACTAAAATCAATGACACTGTTTAAAGCAAAAAAAAAAACTTACACACAACTAAAAAGAGCGAACTGCAGCAACAACAACAACTCTTTATAAAAATGCATTTATTATCAACAACACAATCATCATCAACAACAACATCAGCAGCAGCATCATCATCATAATCATTATTAATATTATTTTCATATATAAAATGTTGTTGTTGCTGTTGGTTTTTTTGTGAAAGTAAATGGAGAAAATAGTAAGATTTATAGTATGTGTGTATATGCAGCCTCTCACTCCCGAAAGGCATCCCAAAATCACAACAACAACAAAATTGCTGCATCAACATGAAAAAAAAACCAAAGAAGCCATAACATAGATTGTCAACGACGCACAATGAACTTGATCGATCGTAACGTATGTTTATTTTCGCATAAACAACAATATAAACATAAAAGCCCCAAAAACAACAAGAACAACAACACAACAACAACAAAAAACCACGACGACTTTTGCCTAAAGTAAACAAATCACACGAGCATCAAAGCAAAACCAACAACGAAAAGCAAAGAGCACGCGTCAATACAGAAGGAGATGTTGTTTGCTTGATAAAACCAAAAAAAAAAAAAACAATACAAGTCTGTCCCTACAACAACAACAACCAGCTAACTAAACTAATGTTGCTCCCCTTATACTCCCTTGACCATATATGTAAACGTGTATGTTGGATGTCTGAGAGTTTGCCTAAATCCCATTCATTCATTGTATTTACTCTCGAGGTTTTTAAAAGATTTGAACTTTTGGAGTGTGTGAAGAGTTGCCAAGAGATGATGCACTTTTGCAACAACAAAACTGCCACAATTTTAACAGAAAATGTCTAAATACAGGGATGGAACATTTTGACATCAGTTTAACTACAGTTAAAGATCAGTTAAGTTATAGATCTGTTCTACTTAAGATCACTACTTATTAAGTTCTAGTTCCATTAAAAATCCGTTTTATTTCACATAAAGATTACTTGTAGTTCAGTTAAAGATCAGTTCCAGTTTAGTTGTAGATCAGTTCTGTTAATGATCAGTTTTACGATCAAGTTCTACTTCAGTTGTAGATCACTTCTAAATCACTTAAGGATCACTTCAGTTCTATTACAATTGCAGTTTCAGTTAAAGATCAGTTCCAGTTTAGTTGTAGATCAGTTCCGTTAATAACCAATTTTACGATCAAGTTTACTTCAGTTGTAGATCCCTTCTAAATCACTTAAGGATCACTTCAGTTCTACTACAATGCAGATCAATTTACTTCAATTCAAGGTCAATTACAGATCAACTCTACTTCAGTTTTAGTTTAGTTCTAGTCTCAGTTCCAATTCAGTTCTAGTTCAGTTCTAAGCTTCAGTTCTAGTTCAGTTCTGTTCAGTTCTAGTTCAGTTCTAGTTCAGTTCTAGTTCAGTGCTAGTTCAGTTTCTAGTTCAGTCTAGTTCCGTTCTAGTTCAGTTCTAGTTCAGTTCTAGTCAGTTCTAGTTCAGTTCTAGTTCAGTTCTAGTTCAGTTCTAGTTCAGTTTAGTTCAGTTCTAGTTCAGTTCTAGTTCAGTATAGTTCTAGCTCAGTTCTAGTTCAGTTCTAGTTCATTCTAGTTCAGTTCTAGTTCAGTTCTAGTTCAGTTCTAGTTCAGTTCTAGTTCAGTTCTAGTTCAGTTCTAGTTCAGTTCTAGTTCAGTTCTAGTTCAGTTCTAGTTCAGTTCTAGTTCAGTTCTAGTTCAGTTCTAGTTCAGTTCTAGTTCAGTTCTAGTTCAGTTCTAGTTCAGTTCTAGTTCAGTTCTAGTTCAGTTCTAGTTCAGTTCTAGTTCAGTTCTAGTTCAGTTCTAGTTCAGTTCTAGTTCAGTTCTAGTTCAGTTCTAGTTCAGTTCTAGTTCAGTTCTAGTTCAGTTCTAGTTCAGTTCTAGTTCAGTTCTAGTTCAGTTCTAGTTCTAGTTCAGTTCTAGTTCAGTTCTAGTTCAGTTATAGTTCAGTTCTAGTTCAGTTCTAGTTCCGTTCTAGTTCAGTTCTAGTTCAGTTCTAGTTCCGTTCTAGTTCCGTTCTATTTCAGTTCTAGTTCAGTTCTAGTTCAGTTTCTAGTTCAGTTCCTAGTTCAGTTCTAGTTCAGTTCTAGTTCAGTTTCTAGTTCAGTTCTAGTTCAGTTTCTTAGTTCAGTTCTAGTTCAGTTCATAGTTCAGTTCTAGTTCAGTTCTATTCAGTTCTAGTTCAGTTCTAGTTCATTCTAGTTCAGTTTCTAGTTCAGTTCTAGTTCAGTTCTAGTTCAGTTCTAGTTCAGTCTAGTTCCAGTAGTTCTAGTTCAGTTCTAGTGTTCAGTTCTAGTTCAGTTCTGTCAGTTCTAGTTCAGTTCTAGTTCAGTTCTAGTTCAGTTCTAGTTCAGTTCTAGTTCAGTTCTAGTTCAGTTCTAGTTCAGTTCTAGTTCAGTTTATTCGTTCTAGTTCAGTTCTAGTTCAGTTCTAGTCAGTAGTTCAGTTCTAGTTCAGTTCTAGTTCAGTTCTAGTTCAAGTTCTAGTTCAGTTCTAGTTCAGTTCTAGTTCAGTTCTAGTTCAGTCTAGTGCAGTCTAGTCAGTTCTATTTCAGTTCAGTTCAGTTCTAGTCAGTTCTAGTCAGTTCTAGTTCAGTTCTAGTTCAGTTTCTAGTTCAGTTCTAGTTCAGTTCTAGTTCAGTTCTAGTTCAGTTCTAGTTCAGTTCTAGTTCAGTTCTAGTTCAGTTCTAGTTCAGTTCTAGTTCAGTTCTAGTTCAGTTCTAGTTCAGTTCTAGTTCAGTTCTAGTTCAGTTTAGTTCAGTTCTAGTTCAGTTCTAGTTCAGTTCTAGTTCAGTTCTAGTTCAGTTCTAGTTCAGTTTCTAGTTCAGTTCTAGTTCAGTTCTAGTTCAGTTTCTAGTTCAGTTCTAGTTCAGTTCTAGTTCAGTTCTAGTTCAGTTCTAGTTCAGTTCTAGTTCAGTTCTAGTTCAGTTCTAGTTCAGTTCTAGTTCAGTTCTAGTTCAGTTCTAGTTCAGTTCTAGTTCAGTTCTAGTTCAGTTCTAGTTCAGTTCTAGTTCAGTTCTAGTTCAGTTCTAGTTCAGTTCTAGTTCAGTTCTAGTTCAGTTCTAGTTCAGTACTAGTTCAGTTCTAGTTCAGTTCTACTTGAGTTCTAGTTCAGTTTTAGTTCAGTTCTAGTTCAGTTCTACTTGAGTTCTAGTTCAGTTTTAGTTCAGTTCTAGTTCAGTTCTAGTTCAGTTTTAGTTATGTGCTAGTTCAGTTCTATTTCAGTTCTACTTTCGTTACAGATCTGTTAAGTTTTATTTCCCGTTCAATTGTATATCAATTCTGCTCAGTTGTAGATCAGTTAAAGTTTATTTCAGGTCCAGTTGTAGATCAGTTCTAATTCTCTATTTGTTTAGTACAAATTTTCCCATCCTTGTTACGGGGCGTACTCTCAAATATCACACTCATACGTCTCTCTCTTGTTTATGAGAACAGTGTTTTCCTTTAATTTACAGTTATGCCTCTCTCCAAAGAAACTACGAGGGGAAAGAAGGCCCTTCATCTAATTTAGTTACAATTCTAAAGCACGATCACTAATGATACTTAGAAAAAGTGTCTCACAGGGGCAGGGGAATCCTCTTAAATTGCAGCTCACACACTGACGACAATTGCTGTCAATTTTAAAGACTAGTGTAGACAGTTTACTGCTTCGGCTTCTGTAGCAGCAGCAGCGTCAGCCGGTTGCTGCCGCCACCAGTCTCTAATTGTATTCAGGAATTTTGTGATTTCTGTCTCGTGCACTTGTGTGTCCGCTGAATCTTATTTTTTTCTGCACTTTTCTTATTATAAAGATTTATTTTTATTGTAATTTATTTACTTTTAGATTGTTGTTATTTATACATATTTATAAAGTGATGTTGTTGTTGTATTTGATGAGATTTTTTAGAGATTTATTTTTGTTGTTGTTGTTGTTGCCGTTGCTGTGAATGTAATTGATTTAAGTGAACGGTATTTTAAAGTGTTTGTGTTTTTTTTTAGTTTGTGAAGAGAGTGAACGATTTTATAATTTATGCTAAATGTAGTAAGTAGACATTTTTCTGAAGTGTTTTTTTGTTGGTGCTTTAAAATCTAAAATCTAGTGCAAGTAAATTTATTGAGATTTTTGAAAAAGTAAGTGCAAAATTGTATTCAAGAGGAAAATTTGATTAGAAACTAGAACTGATCAGTGTCTTCAAGATGCTATCGGTATCTTTAAGATACGATCAGTATCTTTGAGATATGATCAGCAACTTCAAGATACGATCAGTATCTTAAATATTCGAACAGTATTCTCAAAATGTATCTTTATAATCCTCAATACGCTTTTATGATACCAAAATGTTTCTTTAAGCAAAATTATATATATTTTTTACAATTCCACCATAATATTTTTCACTTTTTCTAATCAATTGCTCTAAATTTTCTTAATTTTTCACACTTTTTAGTTAAATTAATCATTCGTACACAACAACACATCATCTTCAACTACTTCATATTCAATTAATGAAATGTATCTTAATTTGTTTAACCCGATTTCATGGTTAGTTTACTTTCATTTTTATTCCAACAAAATTTCTTTCAT